CAACGCTGCACCATTGCACCAACCCCCCACTAGTGATGACGTACCGTTACAATGCATCGCTGGTTGGTGGCCACGTTTGCGTGTTTGCTTGCCGTTAGTGGTCTCTCCACCGTGTGCCTTTTTCTGTCTCTTATTTCTTGTTATTTTCGGCCTGGTCCCTTTTTGTCCTCGCTCTTTTCATTTCATTTTCTCTTTCCTTACTGTTTCCTTTTATTTTGTTCTCTTTTCCTCTTGTTCTCTTTTTCTCTCTTTTTCTCTCTTTTTCTGTGCCAGATGGCCCTGTTTCTGCTTGCGTTGTGAAGTACCAAGATTGAACCAAGGGGGTGTACCTCATTATCTCTTCACAACGCTAGTCTCAGTTGTTACCTCTCCAGAATATCTGTCGTTAATTTCTATTGACTTGCGGACCCCTCGGGGCCATGATATTTGAGTGTACCTTTTTAGGGTAAGTTGGCCTGCCACCACGGGAATCGACCGCGTCGAGTGTTGGATCAGTACGGACATACGAAGGTACTGGGTAGAGAGAGATCGGAACGGTTTTTAATGTGAGCACAACAACAACAACAACAATAATACGATCCCATCGGTGTCTGATGGAAGCTCGATTTGGTTCATGTGCGCGTGACATTGAGTTAGGGTCCATCCGGATAAATCTTGCCACGATCTCCCAGGATCACTCTGGAATTGATTCCGAGTGACTGTCGTACCCTCCAGTGACATACTTTATATCGTAAGAAAGTTCCGTTTGAGGTGGATCGTTTGATTGGAGCAGATGTTAAAAAATATAATGACATTGATTGAGAATATCGCAACTTTTTCGAGATTTTCAAGATTTTGAATGGTTTTATTTGGCCGAATGTGAGGTTTGATTTTTTTTAGACCGGTTTTGAGCGTATCACGTCGAGGAGGTCAGGCCGACCCAACTCAGTGCTTTTTTCGCTGATGATATGCTACGGAGAAATGGGCAAAAAGGCACATTTCCAGGCGATCTCAGGAAACCGTTTTTCGGGGAAGGATGCACCGATGGAATTTGAAAAACTCAACGGAGTCTTCGGACGAATTGGACCTGCACCCACGACACAAGTGTAGTGTTTTGTTTTTTTCGATACATGGCCGTTCAACGTTTCGTGCGTTCACACACCACGCATGACCACACGACACCACCATTCACATCACACAGCAGTAGTCTAGTACCACAAGCCCCCACAAGGGCCCACACGAGCCCACACATGGCTGGGCGTCCTTCCGGCAAACAAAAGAAGCGCGGCAGCTACCAAACAAGAACAGGTGGTGGCCGGTTCGTCGGCGCGTGGCTGCCACCTGCAGAACTACTCGCTGCGGAAGCTGCGGACACTCCATCACAACATGAGAACGAAACGTATTATGAAGGAGACGAAGAGGACCGCAGCAGCAGCATCAGCCAACACAGCAGTGACAGCGACCTCGGCAGCTGTCGTCCGGGCGGGAGAGGTCACGTATCTATCTTGATATATTTATCTCTGTAGAACAAGTGTTGCTTCTTTGCTGTTGCGGAGAGAAACAAGCACGGATACCCGACGGGGGCCACAACTAACCTTGTCACTGCAGATTGTGTGCTGGAGCCTTTCGGGACATTTTCGAGGTAATTTTGGGTCGTGTCGGGGTAATTTCGGGTAAGTTTCCCAAAATACGGCTGTTGTCACCTTTTTTGTTTTTTGACATCGGATTTCGATGCATCTTGGTCGTGCGGTGCTTGCCAACTTTGTTTCACGTTTCAACTCTCAAAATTGACCGGATGGACTATATAGGAGGACCCGGTCCGCAGGGTATCCGTCGATTGACTTTCACTTGCAGGAGAGTGTGAAGGAGGACCCGATTCGCAGGGTATCCGTCGATTGACTTTTACCTGAATCGGTACACCTTCGCATATACCAATGCGCGAACGGCGTTCATCGAGTGCTGAGTGAAATCTTCCAGGGATGGTGCGCACTCAATGACACTATTGAAAAAGAGGGCGGCAAACCTAGACTATGTAAGTAGCATATTTTTTGTATTCAATATGAAACACATGAATGGAATCGAACAACCTTCAAAGAACTGTTTAAGAGGTTGGAGTAACCATCACCCACACCTATGTACGTCGCCACCTTCTGCCCTCTCTCGTTTCGTAAACTCTCCTGCCGACAATTGCCGCCGAATCAGTAACGAGGCTGTAAACATCACGACCATCTTCGCGGCTACCCTCTCCCTGGCCAGCAGCAAGAAGGGCATCCTGACATGATCATGGGACACAATACACGCACACGCAAAAAAAAGATCCATGTACCAGCACACCCGCGGCACAGGAACTGCTCAGCCCTTGTCAAGGCAAAGATAAGGCAAGCATCGCCGAACCAGGGAGAAGAAAAACAAGTACCAAACAGAAAAAATAAAAGCCTTGCGTGTATTCTCCAATTTTACCCGTGGCTGATGAATCCAGAACAAAAAATCGAATTTTCCGTGTAGTTTTTTGCCGTTCAAGATAACCGGGATCGACCGCCGCACAAACAAACCCTGCCTGCTACCGTTCCTTTAGTACGGATAGTAGCCTAGCCTTCCCAATGCCCCCCGGTTTGCGTTCCGATGTAACCGTCTTTCGCCGCCCGGTTGTAGCCGCACCGAGACTGACTTATTATACTTCCATTGGTCAGTCGGTCTGCGTTGTCGATGGATGCAAAAAAAAAAAACTCTTGAGAAACGTCACTGCTTGCTGTGCCGTGCCATAGGTCTACGCGTTATTCCCCGCGTCGTCCCTCACCCTAGGGCACGCAGTCTCCGAAGCAGGGCGCAATGGCCGAGTGTGCTCTGCTGCAATGGCAACAAGCAAGATCGCACGTGTATTACATTCCCTACCAGCATACCGCAGGAAAATACAATCCAAAAAGACGTGGAGGTTCCTCTCCCCAGTCGAGAAAGGCCGCGGGCAATCACAACCCAAACGCCGTCCGCCTCAGGTCTGCGGCACTCCAAATACAATGTTCTCCCCACCGCTCAATGCGGTCTCACTCCGCATCCGAACAAGAGACGATATATACACATCTACCACGATACATTTCTACACACGTGGAATGTGTCCATCGAGCCAGTACTGGCGGCAAAAAAGTACTGGGCTTCGGCCGGGAAACGGCTGTAACGGGAAGAAAAACCAACATCACGAACGACGCCAACATCAACCACGCCAATCAACGGCAACAGACAGATAACGTAAATGCCGGTATTGTACACGTGAACGCTGTCGTGATACGTGCATGCGATACACATACACATGTGTATGATAACAAAAACTGTTCCGGGAAATATGTAAACATGTGGCCTTCACAAAATCAGGCTACAGGCGAGAATACATGTACTGCGACAGCAAGGTGCACGTACGAGCGTTGCTTCATGGGAATCCATACTCAGATGGCAAAAACAAAAATGCGGACTAAAACATTGCAGAGCCAACTTCGGCTCGTACACCGACCAGACGCTTTTTGTAGCTGGTCTTTCTCGCCGCCCCGCACGCAACATGAAAAAATAAAAAAAATTAACCCACGAGATCGAGCATTCGCCTGCTGCTGCTGCACGTTTTCCGCAGACGAACATCGATCGTTTCGGGTGGGGGGCGCCAATGGTCTTGGATTGCTTGTCGGTATCGGCGCCGCAGACAAGGGACTCACTAGGCACCGATGGTCTTGATATTCTTGCTGATGATGGCGCCGCCGAAGGGGGGGGTCTCCACTACAGAAGGCCCTGATGGTCTCGATGTTCTCGGCGATAGCGGGGCCGCAGACAGGGGTTCCCCACTAGGCACTGCTGATGGTCAATATTATCTAGTCGGCAGCGGCGTCGCAGACAGGGGGGCCAACTGGGCACCGTTAGTCTTAACTTTCTTGTAGATGGCGGGCCCCGCCCCCACTCGGCACTGATGGTCTTGATTTTCTTGTCGATGGCGGCGCGGTCCCCGCACTAGGCACTGATGGTCTTGATCTTCTTGTCGATGGCGACGCGACAGACGGGGCAGAGGTTAAACATTGACTCCGCGCAGGGCATGCAGCAGCAGTGGTGGCCGCAAGGCATGAAGGTGCAGTTGACCGGCCGGTCGAAGCACACCTGCGGGAGGGGCGGCCGACCAATCAAAACGCAAGAAAGAAGACGGGGCACGAGAGAGTGAGAGGTTTAAACACTTCGCGTGCTCCGAAAACAAATAACTAAATAAATAAATAAATACCACCTGTATAGTGCTGATTGAGCGCGTACCCTTTCGCTGCAAGAGGAGGGGCTGAACGCGTTTTATTTCATGACACCTTGGAATACAGTGTCCCGATGCCAAGGAGACGGGCCCATGGCGGTCGGGAAAAGCTTGTAGTGAAGTCGTCGCTAGCGTTGACAGATACGAGCTTGGCTGTACGGAAGTCCCTGTCGAGACCGGCCATGAGAGGACGGGGTCGGCTTTGCGCACGCCCCCCCGGAGCGGGAGGTCAAGTGTACCCAGCTTACGTACGGCGGCGTGCCGCGCAGTGTTTCGCGATCTAGAAGATAAATTATCGGTAAGAACGACTACTGTCTATTAAGCGATTGAGTTGTGGGGAAGAGATACCTACATATATCATTGACTAGACCACGCCAAAAATTACTGAATCACCTGTCTGCTCGCATGTAGATACCTCGCCACACAATGTGGTGGTGTTTCCAACCGATATGGTGTTTCCAACCGTAGTTTTAGCCCATCATCGGTGAACGCCCCATTTCAACGAGCAGGCTGAAGGACAGAGTCTCTTGCCGCTGAGCACATTCGAGCCACCCAAGGTACAATGCATCACTCACGCCCGTTGTAGGCAGTTCCCCCCCTATGTCACGCATCAAACCTGACCACGGAAAAGCCGCGTGCACACCAGTCACCGGCAGCTCCAACGACACACAGACCCGTGTACTCACGATGCAGGCGTTTTTCCCGTTCATGCCGCCACCGCCGCCGCCGCCGTCCCCGCCACGGCCGCCCTTCCCGCTCGTCAACTCGTAGATCGAGTAGCCGGCTTCGGCGACGGACATCTCAAGCGCCGCTTGGAAGGGGTCACGGTCGCCGGTGCCGCCGCCGCCGCCGGCTCCCGCCCTCATCCCAACAAAAGAAGTGTCAAGAAAAGTGTCGCTTCCTTCGACGCCGCTGCTACCATTGCCACCGCCTACGGCGGAGCTGGGCGTGTTGCTGCGCCAGGCCGGGCTGCGGTCGGCGCTGCTGCCTACGGGGTAGCAGCTCTTCCCGCCGTCATCGTCGCCGCCTGCGTCTCGGCTGCCACCCCGTTCCTTTGGTTCGGGATGCGACGTTCCCTGCGGGTTTCGGTTCCAAGGCACTATAGTGTGGGTTATATGTATAGAAAATAATATTTGTTGTTGTAACGGTGGTGCCCAGCCGAGTGAAAGAAAATTTGAATGGCATCAAAATGTTTTAAGAACCATCGCCCGCTTGAACGGCACTTAAATGTAAAAAACATACTGCTACTATCTACTATCTTGGAAGTGGCAGCACGACGATTGAGGGTTGGGGGGCGAGGGGTCCTCGGCGCTAGGCGGCGTGGTTACCTTCAACAGAAAAGCTACACATGTAAACAACGATCGAAACTCTTTTGGGAGGAATTGCGCTCGGTTCAGCGAGTGGCGCACCAACCAGGCAAGACCTACTTGTATCCCGACAAGTTCCTATCAAGGCTGACAATCAGGTACCGTACAAAGCGCGCCATGAGTAGCATGCAAGATACGGCGTCAGACTCACAACGGGAAAGAAGCAGGTGGCTGCGCCATAGACAACATGAGCTCTACCGATTGGGCATTACAGAACCTAGAGCGCCATTTGCGACAAGTCACCCACGGGGCCGCGCCAACCGCCATGACGTCACGGATTTTTTTTTGGGAGGGGCAAGGGTAGCTCATAGGGAGACTTCAGGTTGAGCTGACAGGGGTAGCTCTTTCTTTGGGGGTGGGGGGGGGGGGGGGGTCGTTTGTCTCATATATACCACTGTACTGCTAGGGGTGATCAACACTCTGAGGCGCAATGGGAGAGCGAGAGAGAGAAAGAGAGTGAGAGGGAGCATGCGTGGACCCCTACACCCCCCCAGCGCCCCGAGCCCCGTGGATCAACCATGTACCCANCCTCAAGGGGAGCCCTGTCGCGGCCGCGGCCGCGGTCGTCGTCATGCTTGTCTTCGTCGTTCCTCAGGCATGCCTGCAGCCCGCGCCAGAACGGAGCCATGCCCATGCCCGACGCAGCTGACGGCTGTGTTAATAATAGAGTTTTTTCGGAAAAACAAATTGGACGTCCATCCATGCGAACCCAATATTGCGCGCGAGCGGGAGGGAGGGAGGGACAGGGAAACGTCATCCTCTGTGGTTTCGTCTGCCCCCGCTGGCGGGTTGAATGCCGGGCGAGGATGAAAGTAGCCGGAACGAGCCATGGAAGACCGTGTCAGAAACATACCGTCGCCGGCGGTTTTGGCCGGTGATGGTCACCCAAAACACCCGGATGCACGATGCGAACGTCTTTCGTTGACGACGAAAACTCTCAAAAGCACAGGTTTCTGCTGTCGTTGGTGCTAGATATACACACGAAGCAGCCAATTTCTATCCTCCAGAAGAACAAAATGCTTATCCCCACATTTCTGACGATCGGCCCCTCTCTCAATTCGCCATTACGTGCGGGATGTGTATTCCTCTCATGCGCACATTGGTTTCTACTTGGTAGATCATGTTTACCCTCAGCACTTGACAGGCCCATGTTTTCGATCTCCCACACACAGACAAGTGGTCAGACGTAAGGCCGCACATGTAAGGCCGGTGGTACCATGAAATCGCGTGACACCGATGGCATATTCAGCTTGTCTCAATACCAGAAGCAAGGCCGGCCAAATCCCTTGGTACACAACAACAACAACAACATCAACAGCAGCACCAACAGAGCCAAACACAAAAAGGTGAAATTGACCAACCTGGGTGAAGGAAAGGTAGCGCATCATCTCCACCCGGCCGCTGTCAGCGGCTGCGGCCATCACGCTCCTTCCCGCCCCATCCAGGTGGGGCATCTGAAGACAACCACAAGCGAATAAGGCATGTGGGAAGGCAGCAGTATGTAAGAGACCCAGAGAAAATAGGAGATAAGAGACGAAGGCTTCGACGAAAACAAGAGCAGGGATATGAAACACAGGGCAGGGGAGGTGGAATGACACACAGACAGACAAGCAAGCAGGCATAACATCGACGCACAAATAGAGAGAGAACAGCCGGAGAAAATCAGAGGCAAACCACCCTCCCATCGACGAAGCGGGTGGGCAAAGGCGACCACGACCCCAACAGACGTTCACGCCGTACACGCCCTCCAAATATCGATCCCGACCGAAGATATTCGCGGGCAGCGGGTGCAACCAATCAATCACATTCCAAATCGTTGCTGCACATCGTGGGCCACCCCCTCCGTCCCACAAATCTCGCACATCCCCGCGGGCGACACTCACAGTTTTCTCATCGTCCATGAATATCGGGCAGCAGCGATCCTCCACAAGCCACATCATCAGGCTCACGTTGCCTCCGGCGGCGGCGCAGTGTACCGGTAGCTGCCAGACAACGGGTACGCGGAAAAAACAACACACCGAGGACGAGTGAATTACCGTGCAAAGCAAATGATACGGTCGGGGGTCAAACTAACAACGGCGTGCACGTCGCCGACCGGGGCCACAACGTGTCAAACAATCGACATGAGCACGGGCAGACAGATAGCAGAGTTCTGGAAAAATTAGCAGCGGCAGCGAGGTGGGGTCAATGTGGAGGGTAGAGTTTGTTCAATTTTCATCCCATAATTTCTTGTTGGAGTAAATGGCACAAATTGCCGTGAGCGCCGATCGGGAGTGAAGACAAAAGAAAAAAAGGACATTTTCTGGACGTCGGTCCTTGAACCTTTCGGGGCAATTCTGAAGGCACCAGCCAGGGTCCACACAGGAGCGGTGGCACTGTCCGTCTCCCTTCTACAGTGCTCCCCTTGATTTTTACAGCGAGGAGGAATTAAACGTGTGGTGCGATAAACTACGGGTTCATGACGATGCGAAGATGCCATTTCAGGCACCAGTAAAAGGGATGGCCTGCCGAAGCGGGTTTGGTGTAGTGTGTCATGTGCACGGGTGTCTAAAAGACGCCAACAAGAGACAACTGCAACCACCAACAAACCAAGCGCGTGCGCCGTACCGCGTGATGATTGCACAAGGCCGGCAAAAAAGTAGGGCAAGTGCCGCCGACGCCCTTTGCGTCGAAAGCGCCATGTTAGGTGTAGGGTAAGGTTTAGTACGGGTGCATGACGCCAGCAAAGACAAGGGGCTTACGCCGTCACCGCCGGCCAACGCACCTCCCTGTCGCTGAACGGAGCCCGCAGGTTGACGCAGCCGGTGCCGTAGGCCTCCATCGCTCCCTGGTAAGACCCTCGCAAAAGCGCTCGACGGAAGGACTTGCCGACAGAGTAGCACGTGCGGCACACTCGCACTCTCCTCTCCGTGCTGTGCAAGATTAGACATAATATTGTTGAGTGTTTGTGTGTTTTTTATTTTTGTCTTCACTTCAAATCAGCGCTCACGGCACTAGTGCCGTTTACTCCAACCCGTGGTCACACAGAAGCGCCCCTCTCTACCCTCCCCTCCTGCGATACTTTGCCTTCGATTTTAAACGCGAGAAGAGTTCAGCACTCTCTTCCCTCTGTGACACACCAACTACTATATAATAGCGCTATCCACTACGCCAGGAGCGGAAGCGATAGAAAAACTCACGTTGCAAGAAAAGCTCGTTTACGCCGGGTTTCAAACCCCTGACCTGACCCCTAGGAGGTTTCGAGGTTACCAACTAGACCACCGTGGCAACCCGCTAGCATCGACCGAGTGACCAATGAATACGCGAGTCTCAGTGCGGCCGGAAATAGAATGCGCTTCCAAAGACCACGATATGGGGGGCCCGTCAGGGGGCGTCATGGGAAATGCTAGGTTATTGCCTGCATGTGCGTGTTTCATAATATGCACTCACCGGCGGGTGTATAGGGCCGGCTGTGCCTTTCTCTGTCTCTGATGCCTCAACGAACCATAGTGTTGCTATCGGCGACGATTTCTTTTCCCCGATAGGATGATTAAATACTTCAAGTATCCCCACATTTCTGAAGGGTCGGCTTCTCTCTCCACTCCGTATCCTCTGTATCTGTGTCTGTATCTTTGTCTGTGCTTGTGCCTGTGCCCGTGTCTTTGTCGTTGTCTTTGTCTTTGTCTCTCTCTATCTCCGTCGCTTGATCGAACGGCCGAGAAGTAGTAATGTGATCGACCCAAATCAACATGAATGCCGCACAACCGTTGCCAGACGTTAGACAAGACGGAACAAAAACAAGCAGACGCGGGAGGGAGGAACAGCTCCACACCCCCCCCCACCAATAAGAAACCCCCCACGCACCATCAAACAACTCTTCCCCCCTTCTCATACCACCGCCTTCCTCCGCTGGTAACAAACAACAAAAATTCCTCGCACTGCCGCAAAAACAATCCCCCGTCACACAAACTACCACCTTCCTTTCAAAATCCCCACCTGTTTGTATTTTTTTTTTTTGGCGGTAACCATAATGGTGGTCGAGTAGATCATGTTGTGCGGGGTGGAGAATCCTCACTCCGCGCACGAGGGATGATCGCACCACGTTGTGTTAACATGGTCAAGCACCCTCGAGGCAGTTACACAGTGCTTACAACTGTCTCTGGAAGTGAAAGCACCAGAAATTAAATAAAGTCATACGCAGCTGTTATTCGTACGCAAGGAAGTAAGCACAAGATGCCGAAAACCCTTAGCAGGATGCAGCGCACCCTTCATGCGACTCGCCGAATATCTCACGGCGCTTCGCGCTTGGTGATGTGAGAGCCTGGTCCGGTGAGAACCCGGCATGCTCCGTCCCGGCTTTGTAGGGATACGAGGTCAATGGTCTAACGACTACGGCATGCACGACTATGAGAACCCCCCCCCTACACACACACACACACCTGTTAGTATCCTAAAGGAGTGTGGGCGCAGAAAAAAAAACTCGACCACGCACCATCAAAAACCCTTGCCCCCTTCTCATGCCACTGCTTTCCTCCGCACGCAACAAAGAAACAAAGAAAATATCAAGTATCAAAAACCCAAAACCCTCCTCCCACAAAACACCATCTTCCGAACAACGAAACCCACCTGCTTGTCCTGTACGAGTGCGGGAGCATGTGCTTGGGCCAGAAGCGCCACGCGCAGGTCGTGCACACGAGGCGGCCGCAGTTGCGGCAGTGGTGCTTTCGACGCTGAAAGACGGGGCGAAACGACGACTGGCACTCCGCGCATCTGTCGGCACGAATTAGAGACGGTTTCGGGAGAGATAAATAAGACGCGCAATGGGGGGATGTACCGACAGAGGGGGTGTCTTCTCTCCCATGTAAATGCATGCCGTACATGAAGTCGTCAGAAAACTGACCTCGCACCCGATGGAACAGAGCGATGGGGGGGCGGTTGCAATTGGTTTGCGGTGTGTGTAGTCAAAAGCTGTGACCGTTGATGACGCGCGCGCCCCTCGGTAGAGCACATGCTCGCGCAGGCCTCGGAACTGGCAACCGGATCTCGGCCAAACACACGTGCACACATAGCCTGGCGTTTCCCGTTATATCTCGGGTCCCAGGTCATGGCGTTTAGAACCGACTCTATTGAATGTAGTCGCACACAGACGGACGTCAATAAAATGGACAGCCGGTTATGTACCGCACTCGATGCCAAAAACCACGTCTATACACACACGCATGCCTCCCTGCACGAAGGGGGCCGGGGGGGGGACGCGATTGAGAATATGAACCTCGATCGGGGGTGGGCCTGGTTCGTACCGGAGACACGACTAAAGAGCACTCCGGACGCAATAACAACACGACGGGCCGGGAACCTGCACGTACTACAGCAGCAACCACACACCAGCAGCTAGAGTGTGAGCGTACAGGTACTATAGGAGCAACCACAAGCACAGGTCGAAGTGTGATGAGTCCCCTCCCGCCACAAAACCATTTCCCCTGCTACATGAAAAACACAAAAAAGGGTGCTGTGTGACCCCAGGTTCCTCCGGTGTGACAACCCCGGCCTACACGTCAAGGACAACGACAGGTGTGCATACTGGAACGAAAACACAAAACACACCCCGAATACGAAAACACATTCAACCCCCATGAAACTCACGCGAATGTTGCAGTGGGCTCGTGCCAAATATTGTCGACAAGAAAACGTCTTGAAGGCACTCACGTGGAGTTCGCCAAGCGCTCGTGCCACACACAACAATGAGAAGGCCTTTCAAACCCCATCACCAATCACGTGCCGTTCGCGAACGGCCCGTGCCTCACCGAAATCCGAAAACCGCCTTTCAAACCCAAGGACCACTTACGTGGAGTTCGGTGTGGGCTCGTGCCACACGGGCGAGGAAAAAGTCTCCGCGGCTCTGTCGGCCTCATAAGACGTAGCAAACTTCCCGCACACCAGGGGGGTAGGAACTTGGTCCTGCCGCGGAGCGGTTGTTGTCGTGTTTGGAAGGCATGTTTCGGTTAGGGAGGGGACAAGGGGACGGGGGTCGTGCAGACTATGTTATGTTCCATGTTATGGGTGCCGTGACTTATGTTTAATGTTAAAGCAGCAGTGAAGTGACGCCACTCCCCAGACACACGACGGGGGGTACGCGGCTGAGCAAGGCGTGGCAAGGACTGGAAGCAGCAGGAGTGTGGTAGGATTTCGGGAATTGCTAGAACGGAGGACGGACGGGGAGATCGAAACTGTGTAGGCACCGACGACACCCCCAGGCATAATCAACTCTGCGTGTCCCCTCCCGCTGATGCAAAGCCAAGAGAGACAGAGAGGAGACGGGAAAGGCACATTGAAACGAGACAGAAAAGCCGAATGAAAAGGAGACATATCCACACAAAGAGAAGCACAGGTGTCCAAGGAGAGAGCGAGGAGGAAGAGAAAAATCGACGCAGCTACCCCCCGGAAAACTGAGGGATTCCACCCGCTTGATGTGGTTTGCAGCACACAGCTGAAATCGGGCAAGAGAGAGAAAGAGAGAGAGAGAGAAAGAGGAAAGCATACATGTGGCCATGCTGAGGAGCAACGACCTGCACAGCTTCATCGCCTCCAAAACTTCCCAAACGCCTGTGTGTGGCTCAAACACCCACAAAAAGGGCAGCAGCCAGTATTCCGGCTAACAGACAGCACGCCTACTTCCTTGCCCCCACGCCGGCCCACCTGCTTGTTGTACTTGAACACCGTGAGAGTGAAACCGCCGCCGCCCCCGTCCAACTCCTCCACCAAGTGCGGAGTGAGCTCGCGCACCGATTGCGCCGCCCGCGACATCTCCGTCAAGCGCGTCACCGCTGCCTCTTCCTCCGAGGCCCCGGAACCCTCCCCCTGCAACGGCCTCTCGCCTCCCCCCCCCGCCGCGCCGGGGGAAAGGCCAAGCGCCGTCAACCCCACCGGTGCCGCAGCTTCCGCTGCGGCCTCGACACTCCCGGCGGCGGCGGCGGCGGCGACGGGGCTTAGAATCGGCGAGGGGCCTTGAGACTCCGCGGCTCCGGCTTCGGTCCCTGCAGCAGCGAAGCCTCCCTGAGGTCCTTGATCTCGCCGCCGGCTTCGGCGCTTGATCTTCGTCCGCCACCCCTTCCCTCGCTGCCTTGCCGCGAATGTAGCCGCGGCTGCTTCCGTCGCTGCCGCCTCCATTGCCGCCGCCCTCGCCGCCGCCATCGCTTCAGCATCGCGGCTGCCGCTACCCCCCGCCAGCAACGACGACGGAGCTTGGCCCTCCTCGGTGGAAGGAAGCCGGCGAGGGGGGATGTTGTTAGTGCTTGCAGGGGGGGATACCGTCCCCTCTGTGGTGCCCCCCCCCGGGGCTCGAGGGAAAACGAATGAAGGAGACCTTGATTCTTCCACGCCTTCATCCGGCTGCTTGCACTCCCGCCCCCCCTCCAACCACCTCGTATCCTCCTTCCCCCGCCCCTCCAGCCAGCCCGGCCGGCAGCTTTTCTCCTCCTCGCCCTTCTTATCCTCCTCCAGCCAGCTCGGCCGGCAGCTCTTCACCTCCTCGCCGTCACCCTGGTAGTCGCCGTCCACATTCTCTTCACGGAACAGCCCCTCGTGTTCTCCCGAAAGGAGCGCCGCTAGGGTCGCTTCTTGGGCCGCCGTTCCCCCCTCCCCGCCGCCGCGGCAGCGGCCGTCGCCGCCGCTGGCAACGACCCTTCCCCCAACGGGGTTTGTAGGGGAGTACGAGGGGGCCGGGCTCATGGCGAAAGGAGGAGTCGGGGTGCCTCGCTCGGAGGAAGAGTTGCCGCCGCCGTTCTTAGCGCGCTCCGCGTCTGCTTGTGGACGCAAGAGGCTCTGTTCCATCGTGGGACACCAAGAAAAAAAAATAAGGAGTGCCGCAATGCACCATGTGTTCGGGGGGGAGGCACGTTGGTCGGTATCGTAGGCCAGTGCAGGGTGTACGGATTCACAAATCGGGGCCGCCGAAACGTTGGTCAAGCCGGTGACGGCAGTGGCGGAAACAGCATCGTCAATATTCCAAGGGAGTTGATCTAGCGTTGGGCGCAGTCGTGTGTGTCACCGGCTGCTTCTTGGACGCAAGACGTGTCAACCGCGGCCTACCAAAGGGTGTCGAAAATGTCATTGTTTCGGGGGGGGGAGGGGGGCAAGTCGCACTTGATGTCCGCCTTCGTTTGTGCCAAATTGCGTAGCACGCATAAAACACACTTGTGTTGCGGCAGAACGTTTGTCAATGAAATAATGCGTTGACTCAGATGGTTTTGGCTTTGGTTGTTGTCGCTACGGGTGCTGTTACTGTTGTCTTGACACACGAAAACTGAACCAGCACCAGCACGAGTCAAGAATTCCATCCAACCACCTGCTCCCTACTCTCCAAGGCAGAGAAGTTGAACCCCGTGGTCCTGACGTGACATGGAACAAGAGATACGGGGAAACGAAAGACCCCGGGCACCTTCATCGCGCCGAACACCTTGAAGCGGCCGAACCCTTTCCTCCTCGCTACCGTCGCCGCCGCCGTCCCCCCGGCGGGCGACGACCCACAGCTGCCGCCGCCGCCGCCGCCGCCGCCGGAGATGGAGCTGCCGGGGGGACTGCCGTCAGTCCAACCACTGTTAGCGCTACCGGTGCCACCACCGCCCGAGTCCGTGGCACTACGCACGGCCGCCCTGTCGTACGGCATGTAGCCGAGATCTCCGCGAAGCAAGAGACAAGCGGGCGGGCAGACGGGCGGTGTGTGGAGAGGTATCTCATGTTTTGCATGCCTGGGGGGAGGGAGGAGCTGGCCGGGGTCTTCTCGAAAGAATAAAAAGTGTTAGACAGCGAGAGGCGAGCATGCGGGCGGGCGGGTAGGCGGGGAGGGGGGGAGGGCCGGGCCGGGGTCTTCTCGAAAACAAATATGTGGCAGAGCAAGGAGGCGAGCATGCTAGGCGGGCGGGAGGTATGTTTCGCACGCCTCGGCGGTTAGACCACTGACAACGCGTCCTCGAGAGGACGGAGAGTTGTTACCGTAAGACCGATCACGGGGGTCGAAAGGGGGCTTGGGGGGGGGAGCGGACCGAAAAAAGGCACTTTTCGGGCGGTATTCGCTGCAACACGCCGTTCGCGAAATACACGTTTCTTCCGAAACAGGTTTGCTGCATACCCACGATAGCGCACCACACACACCCTGTCGCGTTTAGTTTTTCAAAAGGTGACTTCATTCTTCATAGGAAGGAATGCCACAAGGTTTGGCATTGAAGGGTTTATTCGAAACCTTCGCGAAAACGAAATATGTCGTTATTCGCGGTCAACCTCGCTGACGCAATGCGAGCTACCAAACATGTTGAAAAGGGGGTGTGGAACGCGGCAGTCCCGTAGGGTATCAATCGTATCAGCAGCAACAGAGCGCATTACGCAGCAGACACAACTCTCCCTTCAGCGCTTCTTCCTACGTAACTGGCCGCCTCTCATCCTATCGTCTCTATCGTCCCGCAAACGCTTCAGACAAGCCATTCGACCGGCCGGCTCAGCTGCACCGCGACTTGCAAACGCTTTGCCAAGCCGACTGCGACAAGGCTTGCAAAAGAGCCACAAATCGCGAAAAACAAAACACGCGGTAGAAAAAAGACCGGCGGCCGCATGCATGCATCAGGATAAAAAAAAAAATGCACAAAGGAGGCCACGTGAATCACCTGTGGGTGTGCGGCTGCCTCCTGTCCCAAGAAACGCCAACTGGTTCCGTTCCAGCGGCCACAAAACCCACTTGTCGCTCACGGACGAAAAATAATCTTGGAAGCGCACCTGTTTTTTTTGGTTCAGAGCGTGCGAGGCAACGGACGGACGTCGCGCAGGGGCGGTACTCGAGTGACCTGCTTGTCCATTCCTCCACGCGCTCCGATGGTGCAGCAGTACATCATGACGACTCGTGTGGGTGTGGGTGTCCCCGCAAGCTTCGGCAATTCCATGTGAAATCTGCTGTAGGCAGGATACAAGCCTCAAACGTTGCCCATGCAGAGTCGGGCAATACACAGCACTCGCGTCTGCATCCAAGAATCCGGCTGGGCCGCGCACAGGGGGGGGGGGGGGGG